TATTGGCTAGCGAGTGTCATTAACTGATTAATTTAATCTTCCCAGTTTCCCGGTCTCTACTACTCTTTTGTTCTCATTGCTGCTGGGCGTGAAATAAGTCGGGAACCGAATGAAGGCAATTTGGCCCGTTTCCGTCTCCAGGGCACAAAGCTGGCTTGCTGTATCGCATTTTCAGAGTCGCTTTATAACCACGCTTTGGTCATCCTCATTCGCTTAAGGTACTGAAAGTTGGCTTTTGCCGCACGAAGAGGAGAAAACATCCCAGAATGGCATTGCATTCCACTTGGTCTTGCTTCTCAAAAGCTTAATACATCCTGTCGGGACTACGGTTTCCAATTCGCCTCACTGCCTCGTCAACATCATCAACAGGATTAGATAAAGTGTCGTGAGCATTCGATCACCATTCGATCACACAGCCACTGGTTCCAGTTGGTCACATGACAGCTGAAGCATTCAGGGCAAATCATATCCCAGCCAAATCACATTTTTATACTGGGATTGTCGATCCTGCGAACATATATTCATCATTTTCATTGTCATTGACTCTTGTATTTCTTCCTCCCTGTTTCCAAATCTCTACTAATCTCTTCTCGTTTCCATCTCCGGGAGACTGAATTTAGTAATTTCAGGTCGCTTTAGGTGATTTGATAAATGATGTTCAGTTAGCTCAGAGGAAATTTTGATTAGATCTCAAAATGACATTACATTTCAAAAACTGAATTGGCTACGTCGTCACTCGAATACACAGACACCAGCGCTGATGGGCGACAGAGCAGATTTGACTTTCAAAACAAATCATACCTCGACCAAATCACATTTTTATACCGGGATTGTCGATCCTGCGAACATATATTCACTATTTTAATTGTCATTGACTCTTGTATTTCGTCCTCCCTGCTTCCTAATATCTTCTCGTTTCAATCTACGGGATACTGAAATTAGTAATTCCAGGTTGCTTTAGGTGAGTTGATAAATGATTGTTCAGTTTGCTCACATGAAATCTTGATTAGATCACAAAATGACATTACATTTCAAAAACTGAATTGGCTACGTCGTCACTCGAATACACAGACACCAGCGCTGATGGGCGACAGAGCAGATTTGACTTTCAAAACAAATCATACCTCGACCAAATCACATTTTTATACCGGGATTGTCGATCCTGCGAACATATATTCACTATTTTAATTGTCATTGACTCTTGTATTTCGTCCTCCCTGCTTCCTAATCTCTTCTCGTTTCAATCTCCGGGAGACTGAAATTAGTAATTCCAAATTGCTTTAGGTGAGTTGATAAATGATTGTTCAGTTTGCTCACATGAAATGTTGATTAGATCACCAAATGACATTACATTTCAAAAACTGAATTGGCTACGTCGTCACTCGAATACACAGACACCAGCGCTGGTGGGCGATAGAGCAGATTTGACTTTCAAAACAAATCATACCTCGACCAAATCACATTTTTATACTGGGATTGCAGAACAAGCGAACACCTACTGTACGGATACTCTGGAAGCCTACTTTTACCGTAACCAAATAGCGTCGTCTGCATGCTAGACAATTGTATTACCAGTTCCTTTATAAGCATAAAATAAGGCGAATACATCTCATATATATTCCCTACTATTAGTAACTAGGATTGTCGATCCTGCGAACATATATTCAGCATTTTCCGTTTATAGTTAGTTTTAGTTACTAATAGTAGAGCATATAAATGACATGTATTCACCTTAGTTTATGCTTATAAAGGAACTGGTAATACAATTGTATAGCATACGGACGACGCTATTTGGTTACTGTAAAAGTAGGCTTCCAGAGTATCAGTACAGTACGTGTTCGCTTGTTCTGCAATCGCACTATAAAAATGTGATTTTGTCGAGGTATGATTTGTTTTGAAAGTCAAATCTGCTCTGTCGCCCACCAGCACTGGTGTCTGTGTATTCGAGGGAGGACGTAGCCAATTCAGTTTTAGAAATGTAATGTCATTTTGAGATCTAATCAACATTTCATGTGAGCAAACTGAACAATCATTTATTAACTCACCTAAAGCAACCTGGAATGAGTAAGTTCAGTCTCCCGGAGATGGAAACGAGAAGAGATTAGTAGAGATTAGGCCGCAGGGAGGACGAAATGCTAGAGCCAATGACACTCGTCTGCTTACAAACGACCATCCAGCCAATCATTCATTCAATGCTTCAGTCAATCAGTCAATCACTCATTCATTCATCGCGTCGTCACATGAGACCGCCATTCTGTCAATCATTTGTTCACTCATTATGCCATTTGTTCAGACAACTAGTCAACCGGACAGACACTCGTTAACTCAATTATTAAACTAGTCAGTCAGTCACTTATTCAACGGCTCATCCAGACACTCAGTCAATCATACATTTATACTATCGATAGACAAGGCAATGTAGGAGAACATATAAAAGGTTAGACCGTTTTTAATTGCCTAGATCTGTATGCATTTGTGGTTGCCCGTGAAATTCAACATGATGTATCTTTTTGCGTTTAACACTGTTCAAATATTTGCCCGCCTAAAGCCACTCACAATCCGTCCACTCTGTTTGCCTAAAATATTTGTATACTTCCAGAACACCATGGCAGTACGATGATGACCTTACGACTAGCGTTTCTGCTCACCAGCATCTGTCGTTACTTGGTACTTAGGCTCGAGTCTTCATGATTCGCAAGTCGGTTGTAGAGGTGCTCGTCACACAGTCTAGCCTACCTTCGAAACCTCGTTTCTGGATGGTCATCGGTTGGTTGACTGTTGGCAAATTACCCCAACGACAATCGGCAATGGGCTCTTTCGATGGTCAAATGATGCCATCATCTCCAGTCAGGCTGGGCTGCAGTTTTGGGCTACTCAGCTCGGGCGTATCAACAATCAAAAGTGGGATTAAAGTCTAGAGACATACATGTTGGTCCTGGTGAGACTTATGCTACAAACCTCGTGGTGGGAAATTCGGTATCCAGCCTACACCTCCATAGTTCGAATCCCGCCGTACACAAGGAGGAGTCGAAGTCACCGACATAGTCGACCAAGAAAGAGCCATTTTAAGCTTCATAGGGCCAAAATCTGGTCTTTCCTCCCTTTTAGGATGAACTGAGACGGATCCCAAATGTCAGAATTTTTTCACTGTATGACATCAAAGGATATGAAGACTAAAAGTGTATGAACTGTGGTTTGCCGCAGGTTCCGTTTTCGAAACTTAGTCGTGGTTTTAAGGAGACTTCGAGGCCTTTGCCAGTGTGATTCACTATTCTTTCATTGACTGGGTACAAATCGAAACGTTTGGCTTGCATTTTCAATGTACAATGACATCATTTGTGCAGAGTTTCGGCTCGTCAAAGTGGCATGATCCTACTATCACACCGGTTGACCAAGCCTCCTCTCTAGACCATTATGTACCCTTCCTTGCTCAAATCAATTCAAAGTGTGCAACATTGGATGGTGGTTGAGTTCATTAAAGTGTTTCCCTTCCACATTATGCACTTCTTGATCGGGAGCGGTAATCCTACTTGGTCATCCCGTCCATCTAAATTCTATAAACTTAAATTAGAACTTATGTCATCTTATACCTTATCAAAGTTAATGTATGTATGTATGAATATGTGTGTATGTATGTATGCATGTATATATTTATTAATGTGTGTATCTATGTCTGTATTACGTGGCGTAACAACATTTATGGGCTTGGATGCAGCAAGATGATGCATTATTATTAATAATAGTAGACTTATAAAATCAGCCATTCTGTAGGACGTATAGGAGGGGAGTTTCCCAAAGCAAAGTGTGAAGGTCTCACGATACAAACAAATTTCACTCATGCCTGTCTTACAAAAGTCTGTACTTTATGTTCCACCTCGACTAGATCTCATCAGCATGAACAACAGAATTAGAAATCGTATCCTTCGCAGTAGGCCCCACAGGAAATGGGACCTACACGACAGGTCAGATTTGCAAAATCACAATTCTAGTGGAATCATAGACGGTGCTGCCTGTACATTTAGTGAGAAGATGTAGGCATCCTAATCCGCGCAAGATCAACAATATAGAATTAAGTGAAAAAGCAATGCGAACTTTAAGGCGCCATTTCATTGTGGGAATATTCATTCCTTTCTTACGCTATCGAAGTGAGTGTCATCACGGGCTTCGATTCGATGCTAGCTCTAGAACAATAGCTTCAACGAGGATGGCAACAAAACTGCAACTCACCGTATTTTCAAACCTCCATTGCCTGATTATCACCCTCTCCCTCTTTCATCGTCTTCTCACTGCGGTCCCCTAGGTCTGGCTTATCCCTTCGCCTACCCTTCGTCTAACAGTTTAGTCCAACCTAATCACCCATTCCCCTTTGTCCAGTTTGGTGTGGGTACATGAACCAACCCTGTACTTAAATGAGATTAAACTTCAACTAGCCGGGCTTCCTAGACGGTCCTGACTCAGACCTGTATCCCATTCTGCATCCCATTGGACAAAGTTTCAAGACGGTTGTGATAAGTTTATTTATATTTTAGTGTGATCTCCATGATTCTAGTCCTCGCATCGCAATGAAACATAGAGTCTCAAGGATGATGTTGTAGATAACGGATCATTCTAATCGCGGAACAGACTCTTCAGAGCCTAAAAAATAGATTGTCAAGCAAACGAATACTTGGGCAATCAATTCTTTATAGCTGAATTTTCCACAAAAAATTGATAATAAATGTGTAATGATGCTTTAGTTCTTAAAATATGTTGCTTCAAGTCTGTACTATAGTCTCGGTCGAATCGGGTCTCTTCAGCATCATCAGCAGAACTCGAAACCGGAGGGCAATGGAGTTTAATGGTCCTACAAGACCATCAAATCATTTTAATGTGGGAAAGTCAATTGTTGAACCTTCCATCACACTAAAGACACATAACTCTCCTTCAAGTCGTACTGAAGTATCCTTAGAAAAATATAAGCAATGACTTTCAACTTTAAGAGCCCTGAATTCGAAGGAGTCTCATCAAATCTCTTTGGCCTCTGTTTTACTCTTGGCGAACACACACCCTCGCACATGCATACATGGAGAACTCTGATGATAATATAAGTCGGCTTCTTGAATCCCTTCCAGCCAAATTCTGCCTCAAATCAAAGAGCCGAGTCATATTACATTATCAAGAGAGGCCTCGAAAACCAGCTTTACCCCATCACTTCCACTGATAACCTTAAGCCCC